CTCTCGAAGGTCCGTCTAAAAAAGGGAGCCGAGCCTGAGTATCTCCGGCGAGGAGAAAAAGACAACAGAAGGCATTAATGACCATGAGGTGATGCGTAGGACACACTAGTGACGACAAGATCCAACGAGATAAATGCTGCAGGGAAGCTCAATGAACTGGCGATCTGCAGCCCTGAGTCTGACCAAGTTGTATCGCGGACCTGTCCTTGATTTTAATGACTGTAGTGCCGGTTGAAAAGAGTTTCCATGAGCTTAGGCTGTCCTAGGAGTGTAGTGATATACTATTTAGGATAGCAATACCACGAGAAGTAGTGCTCGAGCCGCGTTGCACTGCAGTTTCGCCTGGGAAATAAAAAAGGACAGAGCTAACCTGCTGTTGAGTTTCCTAGATTCGGGAACAGATCGAGCATACTATCCGGGATTTGTTGGCATGATTTCCAGTGCAATCTACCTCCGCCGAAAATTGCAAGATTCTATCACAGTAATATTGAGATCGATCAGTTCGGAGAGAGAGAGAGAGAATGAGGCCCTCTCGGGTTTCAACGAAGGACGGTCCAAGGCCAGTGCTCGAGTCATCGGAGCTTCCCTATCAGTATTGAACCGTTGTTCCTGTGCTTGACCATACTTATTGCATCATTTAAAAAAAGAACAAAGGCCGTGCCTTCTGAGGACAGATGGTCGATGGCGGTTCTTCGAGGTGTGACCCGAAGCAGCTCTCCAAGAATTTGGATAATTACATAAATACCACGTGGTGTTGGATGAACTTTGGACCCCTCTCAACCCTGCAGATGCCACCGTCGATCTGATTTGCGTTCACTACCCAAGACTCCGCATGCGTATCGCATGGGCCAGTCCACTGGACATGTCGAAAAAATCAACAATAGCTTGCTCCCAGTAGGTTATTTGACACATGCTGCAACAAACAATGCACTACCAGTGACCCGGATGGACGAGTTCGGGGACTCGAGTCCTCGACCCCAGATACTCTCGATTTTCTGACCGATATCATTAGAGTTTGATGTACGGAAAGAAATCTGGAACCTTATACTTAGGCGCGAATGCCGACATTGATGGACCTCCCCAGGCGCGACACGGGAATTTGCCAATCTCAGGCTCTGTTCCCTCGTTCTCAAGCTCATCCGCGTATGGACCGGCTCACTTGCTAGACTATTCTTCCCCTGGGGTGTACGGAACTTTTCCCCCCCGTTACAGGATGATTACATCGTTTGGAACGTCCTTGACTGGCTACCGTGCTTATTCGCAGTGGATACCTGATACCATGGCCTCGTTGCAATACCGTCATTTTTTGATTGGCAGCCGACCCCTGTCAATGCCGTCCAGTTTAGCTCAGGAAACCGTGTTTTTTCTCCCTAAGCTTGAGTAGCTTCTTTGCCCGGCCCACGAGAACGAGATTGTTTGTAATCCCACTTTGGGAATCAAACACTATTCAATTCGAGGACCCTTTTCTGAGTCCATGACGTCTGTGAGAAAGGTTCCATTATACTTTTTCTAACCGGACTGAATATAGCGATAGTGAGTCCGTTCTTCTCTGGGCAACCTTTTCTGCCCTTCAAGCACCCACCGTCATGCCTCCAGACTCTGATATGCGCGCCGCTGTAAAGGGATTTTCAACCCAGTTGCGAGCTAGGGTTCTTCAAGCATGGATGACAAAACCGACGACGGACGACGAATACGCGTACCGTCGAACGAGAGGTCGCTCGGTACGATTACTTGCCCATCCTCGTAGCAACAGTACTGAAGAACATCAAGACGCCTTGCTCACGATGCCTGTTCTTGGAGAGCGTCTGCATTGCCTATAATATCGGCTGCTCTAACTGCAGTCTTTGTGAAGTCGTCTGCAGCAGGTTTCTTGACGAGAAATACCATCGCATCCAACGATTTATCGCCATGGACATCACGTCGATTCCTGCTTTAGTTCAGGCATGCCTGGATCTACAACGTCAGACCTTGGCGCCGGTGGCGATGGGGGAACGATTTGAGTTCTCGGTATATTATTCCCTGGTCTGCTGTATTCGAGACTGACTCCCTCCATGTCCTACGTGGCAGGAATATACCAATAGCTTACACAGGCACAGCTATTCACCTACCGAAACGAGCCTGCCAGTCAGCCTAACCAGCTTCCAGGAGTCATTTCCGTCGCACCTTCTCCCTGGTGTAGATACACTCGCGGAGATAGCACCCGACATCAACAAAACGGTTCATTCATTGTATCAGCAAAACGAAGATTTGCGTAGAGAAAATGGGCAACTCCGTGAAAGGTTTTGTCTTGAAGTGGAGCCCAGAGGTGCGTCACTCCTTGATCTGCTGAGTTTTGGTGAACGAAGCCCGCTTTAGAATCACAGTCAACGAAGCCGAACGGTATGGTCTCTGTCTCGTAGGGCTTCCGCTCGTGGCTTCATTATGCATGCCAGATTCCAAGCTGTCCCGTCACTATTTGGCTAGCGGCGACGACTTTGAGGAAAGTGAGTAGCATTTTTCTTGTCCTAGACTTTATGTGTGCTCAAGGGACTCTTATGCAGAGCTGTCCAAGCAGTGGGTTCATACCACCAGCTTACCACCTCGGCTTTCTCGCAAGAAATTTGCCTAGAGGCAGAGTCCCTGCTATCAGGTTGGAACAGGGCATGTATACTAGTGGCCATACAGGGAAGTTGTGGAATGTAGAAAAGTATTTTCCCTACATCAACATCACGAAACCGTTCAATAATTGTATGATGGCCCCGGTGGCTCAAACTGGATTGATTGAGGTACACATCGTATTCAAATACGGCAGTTCCGCTCTCCGTCTCAAGGTATATCTCAAATCTCGGGAAACCGTCCCATCTGGTGAACGTTGAACCCTACGCACCTTTGATGGTTATGCGATATTAGGTAAAGGCATCATCATGTATGTGGAGCCGACGCTAGAACTTTGTGCTCAGGAAAGTGTTCCCTTGCACCGATTATTAGGTTCTGGTTGACAAACGGTCAACGTAAAGCTGAATTATGATCTTTCAGAGAATCACACAAGCCTTCCTCTATTTTCAGCGATCCAGAAACAATGCCAGACGACTGTTTCTAGGACCATCCAAGTTCTAGCAATCTCAGATCATCCGATCCTATCAAATGCCGAAGTGCTCACTGGTAAAAGCCGGCGGGGTTTTATCAAGGCAGTTATAAAAGAAATGATTTAAGGTCTTCACTTTGATTTGATCTGTCAGGACTTGCGCAACGGCCACTTATCACCTAAAAGCCCGTCTCTCTTCCCCGCGCCTGCATGCTAATGGCGTCCTTGTCCCAAACGAAGACGAGAGAAGAGAGGAAGATCGTGACGTTCGACACACCTGCCCCCGCTAGCCCTCCGCCCAGAGGCATAAAGCGGTCTATCGAGGAGGTTGACGCGTGTCTCGACGAGGACGACGTCGAGAGACGCGGGCATCCTGTGTGGTCGGCTGTGAGCGCGGACTCTCATCACACAAATGGTGGTATACTGACATTGCTTAATTAGACCGACAGGCTCTCCTCGGCTATAACATGCGATGTAAACGCATTCGCTCCGACGGCCTTGTGGGCTTCGCCTTGGGGATCTCATTCAGTCTATGATGAATCGACCGAAAACACGATGGCTACTGACGTCCTAGTCGAAGGTTAGTCGCTCCGATAACGTGGATACTCTCTGACCTTCAATACTTTAGCCATGGGGGGATTTGCCGTTGCCTCGAGCCAAACGGCGACCTCTGGACTCTACATGGAAATCACCCGTGTGATTTCTCGGTTGATAGATGGGAGCATCACCCGAAATGATTTGATTGAGGGGCTACAGAGATTGGCAAGCCAGTTGAGGCACTGTGGTTGAGTGTTGAACGCGGAGTTATGCCGTTCGAGCTTTCTGATGTGAAAAGGCCATCCAGGACTTTTGGTGTTATTAGCTTCCTTTCGTGTTCTCCAATAATTTATCTCGGCCACAGTAAAAGATTAGGAAGCTAACGAAGAATGACGTATAAATATCAAGTTGTCTAGAGAGAAGCAAAACACTTGCGCCAAAAAGATTGATTATCATGAACGGCACCTGACACGATAGAGTCACCTCGGATAAAGTAGGTATACGGCGCGATGCGATTGAATAGAACAAAAGGATTCCATCAAACAGTGCCACTATACGTCTACGGAACATAAAAACAGGCAACATTGAACAAGATGCCCAAGAATGAACGGCGTGAATATAGTTGACACCCAGACAACCAAGGACAAAGCCAGCAGCCACGGCCACGACAAGACTGAATGACCGCCGACGATAGACAAGACACCGGGGAAAGTTTATCCCAGAAAACGGGATGGATACGAAGGCCTTGGGTGTCATTGATAGTTGCGGTGCCTAATGAGCGGAAAGATTTAGCTTCCACCTACCGACGTGTCTTTGAGCCCAGGTGATCGAATGAGGCTCTTGATAGAAACGAGGAATTGCGGGGTGGAGAAATCACAGTTACGAATCAGCCCTCACGGAAGAGCGACGGAACGAAATAACCTTGCGGAGGGTAACGCTAGATTTACAACTGCTTCCCAATCTTCGCGGAAGGTAGCAAAGGTATGGTTTTTGGAAACAGGTAAATGAGAGTGAGACCAGTTGGACTTGAAGGCTCCCTGACGACGAGGATACCCTGGAAACACGTGTCCGAGTTCTGCTCTGGCAATACTTGTGGTGAGGTGAGCAGAAGACAGTTCTCGGTTGGCATTAACGTCTGTTCGTTCGCAGTTTTGCGCGGCCAATAAGGTACGAGGCTATTTTCTTGTCCGGTACTGGGCCAGCACATCAAAAAGGGCTAGTATGATTACGGAGTGAACCGTTGCTACGACCAAGAGACCTTGCAGATGTCAATTCCAGTTCACCAGCAACCGTTCCGAGGATGAGTGAACAGCAAGTGAACAAGCAGAAGGTTACAGCACCGATTGACCTAAGTGAATGGCAAGATGCTGATAGAGGCAATGAAGCTCGTGAACTACAAGCCTCCTTGGCTCAGTTGGTTAGAGCGCCAGTCTCATATTATTATATGAGGGTGATTATGTCATCCGGCAATCTGGAGGTCACAAGTTCGAGCCTTGTAGGGGGCACATTTATTTGGTTTTGTTTGGCTTGAATTTTACATTTTATATTATCTTTTTATTTTTATATAATATATATTAGATAATAAACTCTTCCATTTTTAGGCTAGTTTCTACAACATTTGGTCATAATTTACGTCGGGGTTCCGGGCCGGGGGATTCATCCGTTTAGGACATAATCCGTCCCAATGTGGCTCAATAAGATGCGTTCATATATTTGTCTATTAATATTATCGCACTAGCTTCATTCCTCTAATCTGTGGAAATTACCTCACTTGAGCTCAGAACACAAATTACAATCCTCGTTGTATTCGCATAGCGTTCATTGAAAAGATAATGTACACAGACATCACTGACTAACAGATCATCTCGCAGGGGCAGCCTGAAACAATTTCGTCACGAACGAAGCGGATAAAAAGAGGAATCGACTCACAGAGGATATCCCCGACACAGTCGCAGCAACCCTAAGTACGCGAGGTCAATACGTCGAAGAGTGCGGCGAGTACTTGAACAACTTACTTCACAGCATTCTACAAAGGAGTACGAGGTAAGTCGACGTTGATTGCGGCGGAGCTATAAAGGTCTTACCGAAACAAAGGAAGCAACCGATGAGTCCGAGGAAGCAGTCCTGCGTTGAGCACGAGGTGAGCAGCGTTGAATAGACGAATACTGGGAAGCGAGCGGACCTTTCCTGCACCTCCTCCACGCAGGCGCATAGCCTGTCTCTTGTGCTCGCACTCATGTGTCTGAGTCTGGGTCTGTGCTGGGGGGTTGGAAATGTCTGGGAAAAGAGCTAGGTACGCAAGACACAAGAAGGCAGAGAGTGCGTACTCATTCCACCCGCAGCTTGTGGCTGGGAGCCGGTGGGAACCTTGGCGTTTGCAGTGGGTGGGGCGTTCATGGTGCTGATGGACGAGTGAGGGAAAAACGGGGCGGAAGGAGGTGGCTTTATATAGCGAGGATTCACCTATTAATAGGTGTACACGAGGCCTGGAGCCGTGACATCACGCCTGCGGTATCTGTTTTCAAATAACGAGGATGACGACGAGTGGGAGTATCTAATTCTGCGACGAACGTGATGAACGAGTATCTGGGGCGAGGTATTGTATGAAGTACAGTTAATGCGACTATAGGATCAGTAGAATAGATCGGAGGACGTACCTGTCCGTGTCCGAGTCCGAGGAGTCTCACGACACAAAGCTATGCGTAGCGCAGCACCTCATGGTGTCCAGCAATTTACGCAGAAATCTGGAAGAATCTAAGATGCCCCAATCGGTCATGAATGCTGGGTATATGCGCGTGCTTGAGCCTAAAGCGACGAGGAAGGTGCCTGCCGTTCGTTGTTCTGCATCCCACGGACCAAGTGCCCTTGATTGTTGGATGTGATTTGTTGCTCGCGCGTAGCTGAGAACACAGAACGAACGTCGTGTCGCGGAAAAGGCGCATGTCTTACTATGGAAACGTGGTCCGTTGAGCTCCGCGATTGAGACCGAAACAAAGGCGGTGTTACGTGCAAGAACGAAAAGATGCGCGAAATCAAGAAGACTAAGTCGCCGTACTTGATCGATTGATCGTTTGAATAGTGAATGTGAATAGGTCGGCCAGAGATTGCGAGTAAGATGTATAATTTACACCTTGCCCTTCCTTCGCGATTCTTTGGACTTCGTCTTCAGTGCTGACCTCAGGTCGCACCAGAATAGGAGTTACAGCAGGTTCCCCGTTCGTCTCAGGCGACCCAGCAGCGAAGGTGGAGGGGTTACGAATGAGTACATGGGTGACGTGGAACAACACTGAAGGCTACATTTATGTGGTTCGCGTCCTAGGTGAAGAAATTCAGGCGTGCAGTAACGCGGTTGTCCGTTGCTTGATGCGGTGAGCTGGACGCGAAAAGATAGATGAGGATCATCGTGGTAACAAGCAGAGGGAGGGAGGGGTTTTTATTCTGATCAATGTCCCGAACGTGGCTGACTCTGGTCGGCCGATCATCAACTATTTCCAATATATTGCCCTCCTACCGCTTCTTAAGTGTCACGTTTATGCATTATGCACTATCCTAGGGTAACACGATTCGCGGAAAGATATCTGTTTGCCAGTAAGCCGTATCTCCCTCCCTACTAGCTAGAATCGTCCGGCCATTGTGCGCTCGTGTCCTCTGATATCGAACCAACGATGACTTTGAGTTTGTGTTCAAAGAACGTGTCGCGTCTGCACTTTGTCAAGTCACTCAGGATGGCAGCAACTGAGGGGAAGGGTAATGTACATCTGGAATTCTGTACATGAGCGGGACCCTGCATTTGTGCGTACAACCGCTTTTTCTTACATAGTATAGTCTAGAAACATGCTTCGCAGGACATAGTCATTATGTAGTAATGTAGGAATTTACTATAACAGGGCATAAACTACACCTTCGACCTGCGCCGTCTCTCCACTTTAAACTTCGCTTTCACTAACTTCAACACCACATACGCTAGAAGACGATACAGCACCATCGCAACAACAATGGCACCAAGATTAAGCTGTGCATTGATGCCTCCCAACTCGAACATATCTAATACCTGCTCCCCAGAACTCACAGCACACGTACCATCGGCAAGCCGTTGGTCATCGTCGCATGAGAATACCTGCCCACGGAACGCGTATGGCACGATATTTCGCACCGCGTAGCCTAAGGGTGAGAGCTTATTCAACCCCTTCAAAAACGCGGGCATGTCCAAGCTCATTAGACCTGCCAAAGATGCTTAAACAACGAGAAGAAACCGATAACGAAGGATGAATGTACCTGCCATGAACATCGCAACTGATAAAATGACATTGGTCACATTAAGCGCAAGTCCGGTGTTCTCGTCAAGTAGAGTGTTGAATAAGATGCCGAGCGATTCCCCCGCGTTGACGATGCATAGCGCGTTTAGAGATACAACGAAGAACATACTGACTGTCCGCCGGAGATCGGTCGCGATAGCCGTTAATGCGGAAAACATCAGGCAAGATATAATCTCGCAAGGCAGCTCTAACAAAACATATGCGATGAAGAATGACTCGATAGAGTATGCTCCATCGTCATATTCCTACACAGAACTTCAGCGGCGTGTTCTTTGAAAAGAATGATAGATGATACCCTGTAAAAAATATCCCTTTCGACAGGATAGACTGCAATATTCTGCAGCATTCCGACAAAATATACTATATCGTAGTTGTAAATGGTGTCCCAGCAACAGATAGAACATAAATGCGCTTACAAGGAAGGATCTCCTGGATACAGCCAACGCGATTCTGTATACTGATATAGTTGTGCCCAATGGGAGAAAAAAAGAGACTTGAAACGATCTTTTCCTACGCATCAGAACGCTACAGAAACGTTCATGGCACTAAAACACGCACCCCAAGTCCAAGAACGTTCCCAAACCTCGCTTCCGAAACTGTCGTCTGACGAATGAACGCCAGATATCCACGCTTCAGAAGTATGGGTAACGACGTTGTAAGCGGCGACATCTTCTTTTCATACTTCTTCAAATCCAGAGGGAGCCCTGATGTCTCCTTGTGATCTTTGACCTGGGGAGCCTGCTCTCGGAAAACCTCGACAAGCCTATCTACTTTGGCCCGACTGAGTTCCTCTTGTTCGGCCTCGCGCAAATCTACAGAGACCACATCAAGAGCAAAGTCGGCGGGGTTCATTGTCGAGGGGCACTTGAACCCAACAGACGCCATGTAGTCCAGCATATCACATGCAGGTCCTGAATACGCCACCCGTCCACCCTTGGTCAAAAGGAGTATATTTCCGAAATGCTTGAACAGCTCGGATGAGCTTTGGTGCAACGTCGTAATAATCGTCCGGCCTTCCTCGGCTAGTTGCCGCAGAACATCCATGATTGAAGCAGCCGTAAACGCATCCAGTCCTGAGGTGGGTTCATCAAGCCTGCAAACAACACTTTCAGAAAAACGAAAGAAGTGGGCAACAAAAAACTTACATCAACACCTGAGGCTCCGTGAGCACTTGGATAGCAATGCTGACTCTTCTCTTCTCCCCACCCGAGATACCTTTCAAAAGCTCGCTCCCAACCAAAGTATCCGCGCAGTCCTTCAACCCCATCTTAAACATCACTTCATCCGCCTTCTGCCTCTTCTCCTCCTTCGACATCCAACCTGGCAGTCTCAACCCGGCAGCAAATCGGAGTGTCTCCCGAACTGTAAGATACGGAAGGAGCGCGGCATCATCCTGCATCACATACGAGCAAAGCGCGCGCACAACCTCCCCGCTTGCAACGACGCCATTCAGCGCTAGGTCTCCCTCTGCGACGTATGTTGTCCGTAGAGTGGACTGGAGTCTTTGCGCCATCAAGTTCAGTAATGAGGACTTCCCGCTGCCTGAAGGACCGAGGATGACGTTGACTTTACCTGCTTCAAAGCATGTATTAATGCCTTGCAGGACTTCAAGACTTTTTCCTCCCCGTGTACGGATCTGCAGAGTGTAATCGATAAGATCTATGTCTACACCCGCCACTGCGTTAGCTGCCCGGCTGATGACTTTGATGTTCTTCTGCTTGGGTTCATCGGCCGCGCGTTTGGTTCCTAGGACGGTGATGTCGGTCTTGATCATGAACAACAGGAAGATCTGAAGGGTGAGATAGAGAATGGCAAAGCCAAGCATAGCCACCACCGGAATGGTCGTCCAGTCCTTCCGCGGAACAGCGAGAGACTCTATGATAAAGTCACCACGGTAGGTGATGCAGTTGGGATCAGTCCGTGCGTCGCCGGACGGACAGTCAAAAAACCGGCCCTTCAATTCGTTATTAACCAGTGCAGTAAACGCATAGAACTGAAATGGAAACATTAGGCCGGCTATGGGAGTGTGTGAGATAGACGCACTAGCTGTGATATCCACTTCATCCAGCGCAGATATATGGGTATAGAATTTCCTTGGATGAAGAATCCGCAAGCGAAGGTATAGACTGTAAACGCCAAGTTTGCAATTAGAGTCGCGGTTGCAAAATTCCGGGAAATAGCAGATGAGA